CTTACGTTCGTATGTACATACATGTCAAACTCGTATTTATCTAGGCTTATGTATTTCAAGCCGTTGCAGTATTTATCGTTGTTTCCATTACCCTTTAATCGCAGCAGTTTAAGCTGTATGTATGTATGTATGTTCTATGTACCTGTATATGCCTATTACATTTGTTAGCTAACCGCAATGCGTCAATCGCTGTTTCTCCTTGTGCGCACATAACTTGCCAAAATTTATATATGCTAACGCAGCAAGAAAAGCAGTTCAGTCGTCGAACAATCGAGAAAAGCGAAGGACACACTGCGGTAAGTACTACTGTTTGTACATGTATATATTCAAAGACATAACCCTTGGAATTTATAGAAATAAACCAAGTCCAGCCAGAATAACTGAAGGAAGTTTATTGGGATTTGAGTTAAATTCGCTAGCGCCAACGACGACAACTTTATATCGCATTGTATGCTATTAGATCGAAGCTGCTGCCGTAATTGAAAATAATCAGCCATTTTGCAGACCATTTGGCAAAAAATTGTCGACATAGTTACATAGGCAAATCACCCCGCCGTAGCCCTCGCTTAAACACGGACGCCAACAATTCGCCTACTGGAACGATACCTATAATGGAAGCTAACGCCCTGGCATCGACCAGTACCAAGTCGAAATCAGTCGCTTCGAACACCACCGTAACGAAAGGCATCGCCAATGCCACTTCCAGTGGTTCGTAAGTCGCTCCCAATCCCACTGTACTCATGGCCTCCGCCACAGCCAGGGGCTCACCAGCCGCTCCAAAACCCACTGAAGCTACTTCTCATTCTTCATCAACGACTTCTGCTACACAGCTAGAACATGTAGTTCAAGCAATGCAAAAGCAAATCGCTATGCTTGAAAATAGCCTTAAAGCTGCCGAAGCGAAGTTGAAGGAGCACGAGTCGGGCGCAAATGCGTCGATAAATGTTTCCGTAGCCGGAGCTCCAGTAAGCCAAACATCCGCAGTGCAGCCATCATCTGCACACTCGCCGGAGTTACAATTCCCTTCAGTGTCAAATACGAATGTGGTACCAGCTGATGCCCGATACTGGCCGCTTTATTTTGCAAATGGTGTACCAGCCACAAATGTAAATTTCGTTTCGTCGCATGGTATCTCGGCACCACATTACATGTACGCTAATCCACCGCTACCCACTAGTGATGCCACTTCAATGAATTCTAATTCGAATAGGACACCTGTTTTTGCGAACATGAGCCCCGTAGCCCCAGCGCCGCCTTGCTTACCCAGACAAATGCAGAATTTGCCGGATTTTTGTGGGAAGGCAGAGGACTGGCCAATATTTTACTCTGCCTTCACTGAATCCACTGCAGTCTATGGGTACAGCAACTTTGAAAATAATCAAAGATTACATAAATGCTTGAAGGGAGAAGCGCGAGAAACTGTAAAGTCTCTGCTCATACACCCAAACAATGTCAACAACGTAATTGAGCAGTTAAAAATCAGGTTTCGTCGTCCCGAACAACTTATTCGGAGCCAATTAGCACAAATTAAAGAAATAACGCCCGTTGCAGAGAGTGCAATGGCAAAATTGGTACCATTCGCAACAAAAGTCAACAATATTTGCGCCTTCGTGCAGTCGGACAAAGGAGGTGAGCAGCACCTCGCCAATCCTACGCTGCTCGACGAACTCATTATGAAATTGCCTATGAGTAAACGCATAGAGTGGGCAAGTTACGCAGCCTGCATACAGCCGTATGCAACAGTGAAGCAATTTAGTGAGTGGCTTACAAAATTAGCAAACGTAATTTGCACGGTGTACGATGGAGAGCCAATACGGGACGCCAAACGCCGAGTTGTGCTGCACGCCACCGAAACTCAACGTCCTCCAAGCTGCCCAATATGCCAGGGTCAGCTCAAGCCTGCGGACTGCAAACACTTCGTTGATATGTCAGTGACGAGTAGGTGGGCTGAGTTGAAGAAACGTCGTTTATGCTTTACGTGCCTTAATGCTGGACATGGTACGCGTAATTGCCAACGGCGCAAGCCATGTTCCACAGATGGGTGCAGGAGAATGCACCACAAGCTGTTGCATGAAGTCGCACATAGTTCGCACAACACAGATACGCATCAAGGCAGCAGACACGTACAGGCCATGGGCCAACGCGAAGGTCACCGCTCCACGCGCGTACAGCCGTCACCGAGTAGTCGACAACTATGTGACATAGAAGCAGCAGTGCTTAGTTGCAACAGTGGTACAGCCGATAACAAGCTTCTATTCAGAATCTTTCCAGTCGTGCTCTATGGAAAGCTGAGGTATGTCGAGACTTATGCGTTATTGGATGAAGGCTCGTCGATAACGATGGTCGATAAAGCCATCCTACATGAACTTGGCTTACATGGGAAAGAGCACCGCTTAAACTTACAATGGTTCGGTGGACGAGCAGCAAAGGAACCAGCCGTCGTTGTGGACATGTGTGTCACTGGCGCAGATTTACAAAAACGACATAAATTGCGAAATGTGTACGGTGTGTCAAATTTGCAACTACCATCGCAGAGCTTGAGCAAAACCGAGTTAAGATGTCAGGACACACAGATACGCAAGCTGCCAGTACAACCGTACAAGCAAGTCACACCAAGGCTATTAATCGGGTTGGATCATTGCCTTCTCGGCTTGCCATCGTCCACCGTACAAATGGGTAAAAGCGGTCCGTTCGCCGCTAACACCGAGCTGGGATGGGTGGTTTTTGGCCCAACAACTAGCACACACGCATCCTTGCCGTCATGCTTACTCGTGAATAGCCATTCCGATCAGTCACTACATAACATGGTGGCGGATTACTTTGACATGGAGAGTTTTGGGATCAGAACATCACCCATCGTCGAAAGTGAAGCCGACGTTCCTGCTAAAACCATTATGATGACAACAACATGCCGAACCCATGGCAGATTTCAGACGGGACTGCTGTGGAAACGGGACAGTGTATATCTACCTGACAGCTACTCAATGGCCCTGAAAATATTAAAAAGTGTTGAGAGCAAAATGAGTCGCGATGCCGCGTTCGCCATTGAATACAAAAATATCATCAATTCTTATGTATCAAAGGGATACGCACGTAAATTGCCACCAGAAGAAGCCGCCTTGTCATCGCCTAGGACGTGGTACTTGCCCCATTTTGCTGTGACCAACCCTAATAAACCAGGCAAGTTGCGCTTAGTATTTGATGCCGCTGCTGAGGCTGGAGGGATTTCACTTAACTCGCAACTGCTGAAGGGGCCGCAGGATTATAAGTCATTGCCTTCAATACTCTTTCATTTTCGAGAAGGAGCGATCGCGGTCTGTGCAGACATAAAAGAAATGTTCCACCAAGTGTTGGTTCGGCGAGAGGACAGGTGTGCCCAGCGATTTCTTTGGCGTGATGGTGTTGCCACAAACCAACCGGAAGCTTACGAAATGCGCGTGATGACGTTTGGGGCTGCTTGTTCACCATGCGCAGCCAATTACGTCAAAAAAGTTAACGCGTTAGCGCACCGTAGTGACGACGACTGCTCGTCCCGAGCAGTAAAAGCCATAGTCGACTTTCACTATGTCGACGACTTCGTCGACAGCTTCAGCACAGTTGAAGAGGCAATTGCAGTTTCGCAGCAAGTGCGATCCATTCATCTAAACGCCGGATTCGAACTTAGGAATTTCACGTCAAATTCGCCAAAGGTGGTTGATGTACTAGGAGCCACGAGATCACACGTCCGATTGTAAAAAAGGACGGCTTGCCCGTTGAAAAGGTCTTGGGCTTAACTTGGCAGTCATCGACCGACAGTTTTGCGTTTATATTAAAATTTAATAATGTGGAGTCAGCTGTTATGAGTGGAGCAAGGCGCCCTACAAAAAGAGAACTGCTCAGCGCCGTAATGTCTATTTTTGATCCTCTGGGATTCTTAAGTAACCTCGTCATCGGAGCAAAACTAATCATGCGCGAGGTGTGGAAGCAAAACGTTCGTTGGGATGAGCCGTTGCCAAACGAAATCAACGCTGTATGGGAGAAATGACGGCGTCAACTGGCAGTGGTCAACGAGTATGTCATTCCTCGCTGTTATTTCCGAAATGGTACACCGAAAACGCTGCAGCTTCACGTTTTTGTTGACGCCAGTGAGGACGCCTTTGCCGCCGTC